CCCATTATGTCTCCCCCCATCCTGAGCACCCTCCTGCTCCCAGGGGTGGCCTATACCTCCGAGTGCTTCCCCTGCAAACCCGGCACCTTCGCCCCGGCCGCCGGCTCCAGCTCCTGCCAGCTCTGTCCCCCCGACACCTTCTCCAGCAAAGGGGCCACCGCCTGCCAGCCCTGCGAGCCCTCCCACTACGCCGGTGAGAGGGGCCACCGCGTCCCCCTCCCCTCCTCACCCCACCCGGGTCCCCTCTCCTTGTCCCCTCAGCCGGAGGTGGCCACCGGGTCCCCTTTCCCTTGTCCCCTCAGCAGGAGATGGCCACCAAGTCCCATCCCCTTGTCCCCTCAGCTGGAGGTGGCCACTGGGTCCCCCTTGTACCCTTCAGCCAGAGGTGGCCACCGGGTCCTCTTCCCCTTGTACCCTCAGTGGGAAGTGGCCGCCAGGTCCCCTCCCCTTGTCCCCTCATCTGGGTCTCCTACCCTTGTCCCCTCAGCCAGAGGTGGTCACTGGGCCACCTCCCCTTGTCCCCTCAGCTGGAGGTGGCCACTGGGTCCCCTCCTCTTGTCCCCTCAACTGGGTCCCCTTCCCTTGTCCCCTCAGCTGGAGGTGGCCACTGGGTCCCCTCCTCTTGTCCCCTCAACTGGGTCCCCTTCCCTTGTCCCCTCAGCCAGAAGTGGCCACCGTGTCCCCTCTTCTTGTCCCCTCAGCCAGAGGTTGCCATCAGGTCCCATCCCCTTGTCCCTTCAGCCAGGTCTTCTCTCTTTGTCCCCTTCAGCCAGAGGTGGCCACCGTGTCCCCCTCCCCTCGTCACCTCAGCCAGAGGTGGCCACGGCATCCCCTTCCCTTGTCCCCTTAGCTGAAGGTGGCCACTGGGTCCCCTCCTCTTGTCACCTCAGCCGGGTCCCCTCTCTTTGTCCCCTTCAGCTAGAGGTGGCCACTGGGTCCCCTCTCCTTGTCCCTTCAGCCAGAGATGGCCACCAGGTCCCATCCCCTTGTCCCTTCAGCTGGAGGTGGCCACTGGGTCCCCTCCTCTTGTCCCCTCAACTGGGTGCCCTCTCCCTTTCCCCTCAGCCAGAGGTGGCCACTGGGTCACCTCCTCTTGTCCCCTTAACTGGGTCCCCTTCCCTTGTCACCTCAGAGGGAGGTGGCCACCAGGTCCCCTCCCCTTGTCCCCTCAGCCAGGTCCCCTCTCTTTGTCCCCTCAGCCAGAGGTTGCCACCGGGCCCCCTCCCCTTGTCCCCTCAGCCGTGTCCCCTCCCCGTGTCCCCCCAACCCCCAGTGAAGGTGGAGGCAATGCAAGGGTCCAGGAGGACCCGCCAGCCCTCAGTGGGGTGGGGATGGGGATGTCCCTCTGGGTGGAGGGGGGGCCAGCGGGGTCAGGTCCCCTGGTGGGGCCGGCTCAGCCACCGTGTCCCCCCCCGGCCACCGGCAGAGCCCGGCTCGGCGTCCTGCAAACCACGGCCACCCTGCACCGACAAGGATTACTTCTACACACACACCGCCTGCGACACCCGCGGGGAGGTACGGCCCCAGGGGGGGGACATCGAGGGGGCTGGCTGTCCCCTGTGTGTCCCCCGTGTCCCATCTGAGCCCCCCTCCCCACCTCCACCCCGGGCAGACCCAGCTGATGTTCAAATGGGCAGAGCCCAAGATCTGCAGCGAGGAACTGCCCCAGGCGGCACAACTGCCCCCCTCGGGGGTAAAAACCCAGTGCCCCCCCTGCAACCCCGGCTTCGCCAAGGGCAACGGCAGCGTCTGCCAGCCCTGCCCCTACGGCTCCTACTCCAACGGCTCCGGTAAGCGCGGCCCCGGCACCGGCACCGAGGGGTGACAGGGACATGCACAGATGCCAGGGGGAGTTGGGTGCCACCCCCGGGCAGGGCTGTCCCCTCCTGTCCCTATGGTTTCCATAAGGAGGTCCCCATCATCATCCCCAAGGAGTGACCAGGGCACCAGGGAGATGCCAGGAGAAAGGGGGTGCCACCCCCATGCAGAGCTGTCCCCTCCTGTCCCTATGGTTCCCAATAAGAACAGCCCAGTCATCGTCCCCAAGGGGTGACAGGGGCACCAGGGAGATGCCAGGGGAAAGGGGGTGGCACCCCCGGGCAGGGTTGTCCCCTCCTGTCCCTACGGCTCCTACTCCAACGGCTCCGGTAAGCACGCCCATTATGTCTCCCCCCATCCTGAGCACCCTCCTGCTCCCAGGGGTGGCCTATACCTCCGAGTGCTTCCCCTGCAAACCCGGCACCTTCGCCCCGGCCGCCGGCTCCAGCTCCTGCCAGCTCTGTCCCCCCGACACCTTCTCCAGCAAAGGGGCCACCGCCTGCCAGCCCTGCGAGCCCTCCCACTACGCCGGTGAGAGGGGCCACCGCGTCCCCCTCCCCTCCTCACCCCACCCGGGTCCCCTCTCCTTGTCCCCTCAGCCGGAGGTGGCCACCGGGTCCCCTTTCCCTTGTCCCCTCAGCAGGAGATGGCCACCAAGTCCCATCCCCTTGTCCCCTCAGCTGGAGGTGGCCACTGGGTCCCCCTTGTACCCTTCAGCCAGAGGTGGCCACCGGGTCCTCTTCCCCTTGTACCCTCAGTGGGAAGTGGCCGCCAGGTCCCCTCCCCTTGTCCCCTCATCTGGGTCTCCTACCCTTGTCCCCTCAGCCAGAGGTGGTCACTGGGCCACCTCCCCTTGTCCCCTCAGCTGGAGGTGGCCACTGGGTCCCCTCCTCTTGTCCCCTCAACTGGGTCCCCTTCCCTTGTCCCCTCAGCTGGAGGTGGCCACTGGGTCCCCTCCTCTTGTCCCCTCAACTGGGTCCCCTTCCCTTGTCCCCTCAGCCAGAAGTGGCCACCGTGTCCCCTCTTCTTGTCCCCTCAGCCAGAGGTTGCCATCAGGTCCCATCCCCTTGTCCCTTCAGCCAGGTCTTCTCTCTTTGTCCCCTTCAGCCAGAGGTGGCCACCGTGTCCCCCTCCCCTCGTCACCTCAGCCAGAGGTGGCCACGGCATCCCCTTCCCTTGTCCCCTTAGCTGAAGGTGGCCACTGGGTCCCCTCCTCTTGTCACCTCAGCCGGGTCCCCTCTCTTTGTCCCCTTCAGCTAGAGGTGGCCACTGGGTCCCCTCTCCTTGTCCCTTCAGCCAGAGATGGCCACCAGGTCCCATCCCCTTGTCCCTTCAGCTGGAGGTGGCCACTGGGTCCCCTCCTCTTGTCCCCTCAACTGGGTGCCCTCTCCCTTTCCCCTCAGCCAGAGGTGGCCACTGGGTCACCTCCTCTTGTCCCCTTAACTGGGTCCCCTTCCCTTGTCACCTCAGAGGGAGGTGGCCACCAGGTCCCCTCCCCTTGTCCCCTCAGCCAGGTCCCCTCTCTTTGTCCCCTCAGCCAGAGGTGGCCACTGGGTCCCCTCCCCTTGTCCCTTCAGCCAGGTCCCCTCTCTTTGTCGCCTCAGCCAGAGATGGCCACTACGTCCCCTCTCCTTGTCTCCTCAACTGGAGGTGGCCAGTGGGCCCCCTCCTCTTGTTCCCTCAGCTGGGTCCCCTCCCCGTGTCCCCCCAACCCCTGGTGAAGGTGGAGGTGATGCGAGGGTCCAGGAGGACCTCGGTGGGGTGGGGATGGGGATGTCCCTCTGGGTGGAGGGGGGGCCAGCGGGGTCAGGTCCCCTGCTGGGGCCGGCTCAGCCACCGTGTCCCCCCCCGGCCACCGGCAGAGCCCGGCTCGGCGTCCTGCAAACCACGGCCACCCTGCACCGACAAGGATTACTTCTACACACACACCGCCTGCGACACCCGCGGGGAGGTACGGCCCCAGGGGGGGGACATCGAGGGGGCTGGCTGTCCCCTGTGTGTCCCCCGTGTCCCATCTGAGCCCCCCTCCCCACCTCCACCCCGGGCAGACCCAGCTGATGTTCAAATGGGCAGAGCCCAAGATCTGCAGCGAGGAACTGCCCCAGGCGGCACAACTGCCCCCCTCGGGGGTAAAAACCCAGTGCCCCCCCTGCAACCCCGGCTTCGCCAAGGGCAACAGCAGCGTCTGCCAGCCCTGCCCCTACGGCTCCTACTCCAACGGCTCCGGTAAGCGCGGCCCCGGCACCGGCACCGAGGGGTGACAGGGACATGCACAGATGCCAGGGGGAGTTGGGTGCCACCCCCGGGCAGGGCTGTCCCCTCCTGTCCCTATGGTTTCCATAAGGAGGTCCCCATCATCATCCCCAAGGAGTGACCAGGGCACCAGGGAGATGCCAGGGGAAAGGGGGTGGCACCTTGTACAGGATTGTCCCTTCCTGTCCCTCTGGGTCTGGTAGGGATGCCCCCATCATCATCCCCAAGGGGTGACAGGGGCACCAGGGAGATGCCAGGAGAAAGGGGGTGCCACCCCCATGCAGAGCTGTCCCCTCCTGTCCCTATGGTTCCCAATAAGAACAGCCCAGTCATCGTCCCCAAGGGGTGACAGTGGCACCAGGGAGATGCCAGGGGAAAGGGGGTGGCACCCCCAGGCAGGGTTGTCCCCTCCTGTCCCTACGGCTCCTACTCCAACGGCTCCGGTAAGCACGGCCCCGGCACCGGCACCGAGGGGTGACAGGGGCACCCACAGACGTCAGGGGGAGGGTGGTGCCACCCCCGTGCAGGGTTGTCCCCTCCTGTCCCTATGGTTCCCATGAGGAGGTCCCCATCATTGTCCCCAAGGGGTGACCAGGGCACTCAGAGCTCCCAAGGGGAAGGGTGGTGGCACCTTGTACAGGATTGTCCCCTCCTGTCCCTACGGCTCTGGTAGGGATGTCCCCGAGGGGTGACCTGGGCACCCACAGACGTCAGGGGGAAGGTGCTACCACCCTGGTACAAGGTGGTCCCTTCCTGTCCCTATGGCTCTGGTAGGGATGTCCCCATCATTGGCCCCAGGGGGGCACCCAGATCTGCCAGGGGGAGGGTGGTGGCACCTCTGGGCAGGGTTGTCCCCTCCTGTCCCTAGGGTTTCCATAAGGAGGTCCCCATCATCGTCCCCAAGGGGTGAGCATGGCACCAGGGAGATGCCAGGAGAAAGGGGGTGGCACCCCAGTGCAGGGTTGTCCCCTCCTGTCCCTACGGCTCTGATAGGGATGTCCCCAAGGGGTGACCAGGGCACCCAGAGTTGCCAGGGGGAGGGTGGTGCCACCTTGTACAGGATTGTCCCTTCCTGTCCCTATGGTTCTGGTAGGGATGTCCTCATCATTGTCCCCAGGGGGTGACCTGGGTACCCACAGATGCCAGGGGGAGTTGGGTGCCACCCCCGTGCAGGGTTGTCCCCTCCTGTCCCTATGGTTCCCATGAGGAGGTCCCCATCATTGTCCCCAAGGGGTGACCTGGGCACCAGGGAGATGCCAGGAGAAAGGGGGTGGCACCCCAGTGCAGGGCTGTCCCCTCCTGTCCCTACGGCTCTGGTAGGGATGTCCCCAAGGGGTGACCTGGGCACCCACAGATGCCAGGGGGAGGGTGGTACCACCCTGGTACAAGGTTGTCCCCTCCTGTCCCTATGGCTCTGGTAGGGATGTCCCCATCACTGTCCCCAGGGAGCATCCAGAGCTGCCAGGGGGAGGTGGGTGGCACCCCAGTGCAGGGTTGTCCCCTCCTGGCCCTACAGCTCTGGTAGGGATGTCCCCAAGGGGTGACCAGGGCACCCAGAGCTGCCAGGGGAAAGGGGGTGGCACCTTATACAGGATTGTCCCTTCCTGTCCCTATGGGTCTGGTAGGGATGTCCCCATCATTGTCCCCAGGGGGTGACCTGGGCACCAGGGAGATGCCAGGAGAAAGGGGGGTGGCACCCCAGTGCAGGGTTGTCCCCTCCTGTCCCTACAGCTCTGGTAGGGATGTCCCCAAGGGGTGACCTGGGCACCCACAGATGCTAGGGGAGGGTGGTGCCACCCCCATGCAGGGCTGTCCCCTTCTGTCCCTATGGCCCTGTCACTGTCCCCAAGGGGTGACCAGGGCACCCACAGATGCCAGGGGGAGTTGGGTGCCACCCCTGGGCAGGGCTGTCCCCTCCTGTCCCTACGGTTTCCATAAGGAGGTCCCCATCATCATCCCCAAGGGGTGAGCATGGCACCAGGGAGATGCCAGGGGAAAGGGGGTGGCACCCCGGTGCAGGGTTGTCCCCTCCTGTCCCTACGGCTCTGGTAGGGATGTCCCCAAGGGGTGACCTGGGCACCCACAGATGCCAGGGGGAGGGTGGTACCACCCTGGTACAAGGTTGTCCCCTCCTGTCCCTATGGCTCTGGTAGGGATGTCCCCATCACTGTCCCCAGGGAGCATCCAGAGCTGCCAGGGGGAGGTGGGTGGCACCCCAGTGCAGGGTTGTCCCCTCCTGGCCCTACAGCTCTGGTAGGGATGTCCCCAAGGGGTGACCAGGGCACCCAGAGCTGCCAGGGGAAAGGGGGTGGCACCTTATACAGGATTGTCCCTTCCTGTCCCTATGGGTCTGGTAGGGATGTCCCCATCATTGTCCCCAGGGGGTGACCTGGGCACCAGGGAGATGCCAGGAGAAAGGGGGGTGGCACCCCAGTGCAGGGTTGTCCCCTCCTGTCCCTACAGCTCTGGTAGGGATGTCCCCAAGGGGTGACCTGGGCACCCACAGATGCTAGGGGAGGGTGGTGCCACCCCCATGCAGGGCTGTCCCCTTCTGTCCCTATGGCCCTGTCACTGTCCCCAAGGGGTGACCAGGGCACCCACAGATGCCAGGGGGAGTTGGGTGCCACCCCTGGGCAGGGCTGTCCCCTCCTGTCCCTACGGTTTCCATAAGGAGGTCCCCATCATTGTCCCCAAGGGGTGACCAGGGCACCAGGGAGATGCCAGGGGAGAGGGGTACCACCCTGGTACAAGGTTGTCCCCTCCTGTCCCTATGGCTCTGGTAGGGATGTCCCCATCATTGTCCCCAAGGGGTGACCCGGGCACCCACAGACATCAGGGGGAGAGGGGTACCACCCTGGTACAAGGTTGTCCCCTCCTGTCCCTATGGCTCTGGTAGGGATGTCCCCATCATTGTCCCCAAGGGGTGACCCGGGCACCCACAGACATCAGGGGGAGAGGGGTACCACCCTGGTACAAGGTTGTCCCCTCCTGTCCCTATGGCTCTGGTAGGGATGTCCCCATCATTGTCCCCAGGGGGTGACCTGGGCACCAGGGAGATGCCAGGAGAAAGGGGGGTGGCACCCCAGTGCAGGGTTGTCCCCTCCTGTCCCTACGG